ACCAGGACAACAATAAGTATGTAGCGTGTGATTCCCTTGTGTTTTCAGTCTACACCTGTACAGTGAAACAGCTCTTTGTCCTTTAAGCAGACAGGTAAGATTAGCAAAACTGCACCATATGATGGTTTATACTTAAGAGATTTTCTATAATATATTAATAACATAACAAGAAGAAACATAGATTTGATTCTTTATTTGTTCATTTCTTTTATCTTCCATCATTTTCTCTCAAGCTCAAAAGCTGTTTTTATTTCAACAGTGATGGCAGCAGCAGCGTTTAGAAGCAGAGGACTGGCTGGTGTCAGAAACAGCAATGTTTTAATCCTCATCTTTCTGCTGTCCCTGGTTTATGTCACAAATTCACTGATGAAAGTAAGAACAAAGTCACTGCTGAATTAATTGTTGCTGAAGGTACTTCTATGAAACATTTATTTGCAAATGTAAAACTACAGACACTATTTAAGTCATTACAAGCATATCACAGTTTGAACTGACGCATCCTGTTTTTGCAAATTTCAAAAAATTCAGAAGCGTTTCTTAGATCAACTTAGGAAATCAGAAAAAGCAAAAGCAGCCGGACGGAAGTTCGTTTGCTCAGTTTCATGTCTATTGCATGTTATCAGTCAAATTTGGTGATGCAGGAAACAACAACTGTTCAGTGCATTTGCAGTGATGTGATACAGTGCACACTAAGAGAACTGTGACTCGGTCTGACTGTAGAGGTAAATTAGACTTTTTCTAAAAATAAATGTTGTTTTCTTCTTCAGGCAGAATACAAGAAGAAACAAGCAAGTAAACTTGATGAAGAACTACAGTTTCTTCAATCTTTGGAAGACCTAATAAAGACATCGTCATTTTTTGAGGATTTTCCTGCAATGATGGACTTAGTAAATAGTTTGAGATGCTTTATTGAGAGAACCAGCATCCCAACAGGCGGAGAGGAAGAAGAAAAATGGTGAAAATGGGGAAACAAAAGTGGAAAACATGAAAATCATCCTAAAAGTCAATGGAATAAACTTTAAAACTTTCTGTATAATGTCTTTAAAATAAATAATAATATGAAACAAATAATAAGAATAAGAATTATTAAATATGAAAGGACTGAGTGGTTTTCTGTAAGAGAAATGACAGCCATATGTTATCTATGCCGTTCTCATTGGGAAGCAGCCATTTTTGCAGTTTGCATATTAGACTGGTAATATAGGTGGTATTAAACTCAAACTTAGAAAAAAGTACTTTTTATTAACTTGTGTTAAAAAAAACAAAATAGAAACTTGTATTCACATATTGTTATCTTACTGTGGTCCCTTTTATTTGTGTCTTGGATCGTCTGTTATTTTCCCCCTTCTATTTAACTTCGAATTCTGAACAACAACAATGAGGGCTATCCCTAAATAATTGTCCTAGTTGAAATAAATTATATCATACTAATTGCTCTGTGTGTACTTTTTTTTTTACTCTTTCCTCATCTTCTATCATTTGAATGCATATAGCAGACATGCTTTATAAAAGCATACTATATACTATTTTCTTTCTTCCCTTAAACTGAAAGAATTAGAAGTATGTAACTAGTATAGCAAGTTGAGAGTTACTCAGTCGTTACTGTCTGCTTACAGAAACATGATACTAACAAGATAATAATCATTGAAACATTCCATAACTTGTCAGATCTGCTTTTTCTATGTATTATTGCTATAACTGTGCAATTGTTTTTATGTGTATCATACTCGGTATTTGTTATGTACTACCGATTAACCCATATATTTATGGATACAAAGATGTTGGTTTCTAATGGTGATTTGATAAAGGTCTGTTATGTGCATCAAACCCATTTGTCTAAAAGTAACAGTGGAAAATGACCAGCTGATAAAGAAATTTTTGCAGATCTGCACTCCCCTGTTTAGTTGCTAAAATATATGAATTCACAATTTTAAACTGACTGAACTAGTTATCACTTCACCAGAGAACAGACTCAGTTATCAGTACTGACACCTCTATTACAAAAATAAGATTGATATTTGTTAATCATTAAAAACTAAGTAATATTGTCTGATCCAAGTGCCATCAGAATATATTCATTATGGCTTTTTATCTGCTTGGATTTTAATTGTAATTTTTAATTAAAGGAAATGGCTCAAATAAGTAATATAATCCAAACTTTACTGGTACTTATTAAACACTCAAGGGAAGAGCTTGAAGTAGAAAAACGTGTTTTGTCATGTTATGTCCTAACAATAAATGATGGGCTTCTATTTCTATAAAGCAGACTAGACAAAAACAAAAGACGAAAACAAAAGTGAAAGGGCTGCTCACACGTGTGAGAGGTGGGCTGAGTTAAGTGACATGGCATGCAAAGCATTTGCAGCATGTTATGTCATTATGTTTTCATTCTTCGCCTGTACGGTACAGCAGCTCTTCCTAAATTCACACAGCAGGTAAGAAGATATATATGTATATATATATCTATATATCTATAGATATATATATATATTTAAT